TCCTCCTCCTCTTCATCTTTCAAGGCGTAGGTCCCATATGACCTTCTAGGTGAAAGTTTTCTGATCCTCTGTTGGACTAGTTGCTCCCCTTCTTGTCTTCTGTAGCAGAGGCTGCCCCTCTAACATAGCTCTCAGTACAGTCTGCCCTGGGGTTTGTCACCCCACATGTACTCTGAGTACATTGATGATAAGGGACCTTGTCTCTAACTTTCCTTCTCTGTCTGTCACATAGTAGGCTTCTGCAGTGTTTGTGGTTAAATGAGTCAGTGACATTTACTCGCTTTGGTTCTTGTTTTATGAGCTGTCAGCGTCAGAATGGGGACTTTGTGTTTTTCCTCTTGTTTGTGCCTAAAGAGGGCCCTAGTTTAGATTGATGATACCCTAATTACAAGCACCAAAAGTATGGGAATTCTGTATAAGCCGGGATTCTTCCTTGCTGCTGTTGTTTTCAGGTTCTTGTCTTGCCATGACTGTGAGTTTTGTTGGAAGGGAGGTAGTGCTCTGTTCAGAGACCTGCACTGGGTGTGATATAGTTCACACATGGGAAAACTCACAGGTGGTTTACTAATCAGTTACTCTGCCCTTGGCCTTGGGAAACAGTGGTCCCTCCTATCTGGGGACCAGCAGGTACAAATTCACATTTTTCCTTGCCAACAGCCTCAACATATGGAACAGAAAGTTCTTTGTTGATCATAGAAAAATATACATGGTTGAAGGTAGAAGGAGCTTGGGAACTATCTGGTTATACTGCTTTCATTTTACAGATGGAGAAAGGACTTGATCAAGATTACACAAGGCGTCGGTCAGTGATGGAAACAGGTCGAGAAATGAAATGTCATGACTCTTTTTTCCAGTCTACTACATTGTTAATATAACATCTAATATTTATTGCTTGCTTGCTATGTGCCGGGCACAGTTTTAAGTGATTTTAATTCTGGTTTATAGACTTGGGAATCATTCAAATCTATTTTCTGCTTTGACAACTCTGGTTTTTAGTATGGTCTTAACGGCAGTCACCTAAACAGTGGGGTGGAACAGCTCTCCAAAGTGCTTGCTCCCAGATCACTCCACCTTTATGAATTAAGAGATGTCCTCCTGGTGATGTCTCCCTGTATGCTGGAGAAATTTCCAAAGGGGAGTTCAGAGTGTATTGGGAGAACGGTTGAAGAGATGAAGCAAGTTCACATAAGTGTTAGTGGATCTTAGTTTAAGAATACTGACATACTTCAAGAATGGCCTGTTTGTCAAGCCAGGCAGTAAATGCAGTTCTAGAATAGCCTCAGTCCAGGATCTTTCTGAAAAGATTCCAGTTTAGGGTGGAAAGATTCCATTCAATAAGCACGTACTGAGCTCTTGTTATGTACAAGACCCTGGTATTGAGAAATATACACAGAGGAAAACAACACATTTCCTGCCCTCCTGTAAATAATTGTCTTCTCAGAACCTCCTCCCTCCAGTGTAGTTGGGAAGATAGATAAGTACATAAATAACTGAAATCAGACCAACTATGGTAAATATGGTAAGGAATGTAAACAAAGTAGGAGTTTGGGAGAAGGAGAAATCAATCCCAGCATGACCAGAGGATTCCTGAAGGTGGAGAATTTATGCTGGGCATTGGAGGGAGTTTATTCCTAGGAGAGGGAACAACTTGGGCAGTAGTCTAGAGGCAGAAATGCACAGGGGTGTGTCTGTGTGCATGTGCTCATGCATTGCAGGAGAAATACGGAGTTGGTAAGGACCAGATATAAGCTGAAATGGTGGACTATTGTCAAAATGTGGAGAGGAAAATAAGGAGAACACAAACATTTATCAAGGATCTCCTTTGTTTTGTGGTTTACAGTATGGTAGAAGCTTTACACATTATAATTTATTTAATCCTCACAGTCCTGTAATATAGAAGTATTTTTTAAATAATTTTTTTTTATTTATTATTTATTTTATTTTATTTTTTTGTTGCTGAGTTGGAGTCTCACTCTGTCGCCCAGACTGGAGTGCAGTGGCCGCTCTCGGCCACCGTAGCCTTGACCTGCTGGGCTCCGGCGATCCTTCTGCCTCAGCCTTCCAAGGAGCTGGAACTACAGGCACGTGCTACCACACCCGGCTAATTTTTTTGATTTATTGTGGAGATGAGGTCTCGCCAAGTTGCCCCAGGCGGGTCTCAAACCCGCGGGCTCAGGCAATCCACTCACCTCAGCCTCCCAAGGCGCGGAATTACAGGCTGAGCCACCGAGCCCGGCTAATACAGAAGTATTTATCACAATTCTAGAGATGAAGAAATCAGACCTCAGAAAGATTAAAGTGACTTCCCCAAGGTCAGGTAGCTAATAAGTGGCACAGCTTGGTTCAGTGCTAGATTCAAAGGCCCGTGTTCTTTCCTTTATGCTTCAGGGCTCCAGATGCCATACTAGGGCTCTACTTACTCTAACTGCAGGACAGAGGTTAGGGTGGAGCAAAGGAGGTTCCAAGACGGGGACATTGGTAAGGAGGCTTACACCATGAACAACTGGCCTAGTATGGAAGCTGCCTGGTCTATGTCTGCTTGATTAGTTTAATAGGTAAGCATTCTGGCAGCAACCACAGTACCGTAATAAATCAGTGCATTGCCATCCAGAGCTAGGAGAGTCTTAGAACCAGTTGACAGAGGCGTGGGCACCCTTGTGTTTTAGGTACTGGTTCTGATAGGAGACTAGTGGTTCATTACAAAAGTGTCATTTTAGGGAGGCAACACACTTGGCACATCCTGTTCCTTCATTTTCTCACCCTCAAATTCAAGTAGAATCTGAACCTGTAATGGAGGAAAGAGCACTACAATTGTATTAATTGTATTAATTAATTGTTTTAAGAGTCAAGAGGCTGGCATTCAAGTCCTAGTTCTGCTCACTATCTCCTGTGAGTCCTCAGCCTCCGTTTCTTTCCTGTAATGGGATAAGTATTTTAGTTCACTTCTGACACCTCATCTTTTGCTAATGTCACATATTGCTTTGCTCTTCCTGGCTTGGGACAGTATAAAGAAGTGGCTGAGAATATGAACCTGATCAGAGAGACTAGGGTTTGAATTCCAGACTCTCATCCATAGTGGTTAGACATATAGACTCCAGAGTCAGACTGCCTGGCTTTGAGTCCTGGCTCTCTCACTTGCTAGCCGTGTGACTTGGGCAAGTTATTTAATCTTCCTGAGTCTCAATTTCTTCATTTGAAAAATGAGGATACAAATATTACCTACATCATGGGGTTATTATTAGAACTGAGATAACTTATGTTAAACAGCACAGTGCCTGATGCATAATAGGTGTTCAATGAATGTTAGCTTTAATAATAATAATATTGACAATTGTATTAATGCCCACTTAGGGTCTGCTTTTATAGAAGGTATATTTATTAGGGCTGTTTTCCCTACTGTCTAACTCTGGCATTGCTCTTTCTTTCCATTGCCCTATCAGGAAACTTTGACACATCGGATTGTTCCAGCACAGAGTTGAGAAGCATAACGTTGACAGAAAGTGTCTGTAGGAAAAGAGTCAATAAAAAGTCAGTAGTATGTTAGGAAATCTTACCTGACTTGTGTTTTCATCCACCTCTCTCCTTAGCAGAAGGCATAGGGCAGTGTATTTATTTCTTTTAGCACAGTCTTCAACAAAAGTGCTGAGCAAGACTCCTCCAGTTCCCTTGCCAAAAAGTACAGTAACAGTATCTCTGAAAAAGTGGGGCCTAGTTTGGTTCTTCTTTCTATCCAGCTTAAACCCCTCTGGCCTTAACTTAAGCCATTTCTTCTTGTTTCATTTTCCATGAATATGGAAAAGTTTCTTCTGATTATAAAGGGAGGATGAGATGAGATCAAGATTTTCTCATGAGAACCTTTTCTGTACTTAAAACCAGAATCCAGTTAGGCCTCATCTTCTCTTCTGCCGGCTAAACAGCCTTGGTTTCTTTTCCCTCACTCTTAAAACCTATTTTCCATTGCTTGGATCACATTGGTTATGCTTCTTTTCTTTCTCTTCGGTTTTTCTGCTTCCTGGCAGTGACCCAGACTGTGCTCAGTCTGCTAATAAGAGTCCAACTAAAACAGCTTAAGGGAAGAATAACTTCAGGTGTCTCCATCCATTCATTAATATTTATTGAGTGACTACCCCATGCCAGGCCCTGTGCTAGGTGTAGGGGACGCAGAGATGAAGCATACATAGTCTCCACTCTGTCCCTAGCTCAGTCTAGAGGGAAATGTGTAATAGAATGTTACAGGGACTTGATGGAATTATGCACAAGTGTAGGAAGTTGGAAATTGGTTAGAAAAATCAGGAAGAAATATGTCGTCCCTTTTGTAGGTTAAGACTTTTGTAGAGGAGGGGCAGAACATAATGCAGGTGGGATGGTCAAGAGATGCCCTGAGTGATAGCACAGGAGCTTGGTTATTCCAGAGGTGGTGGACCAAGAAAATGACAGGCTCTGATCTGGCTTTTAGAACCAAGGATAGAGATTCCATAAGTCTTATTCCTATCTGTGCCTCAGTGGTGTTTTCTGTCTTGAATTTAGTGTGATGTATTTCTTTTTTTTTCTGAGTTGGAGTCTCACTCGGCTGCCCATATTGGAGTGCAGTGGCCGCTCCCGGCCACCGCAGCCTTGACCTGCTGGGCTCCGGCGATCCTTCCGCCTCCGCCTTCCTAGTAGCCGGAATTACAGGCACGCGCTACCACGCCCGGCTGATTTTTTTATTTATTGTAGAGATGAGGTCTCGCTGCCCAGGCGGGTCTCGAACCCGCGGGCTCAGGCAATTCACTCACCTCAGCCTCCCAAAGGCGCGGGATTACAGGCTGAGCCACTGAGCCCGGCTGATGTATTTCTTGTTTGTATACTTGGTGGCTTTTTTTGCTCTAAAACTTCTACAGAAAGTCTAGTTCTTAAGCAGTAGAGAAATTTCATTTCCAGTACAACAGAAAATTCACGAAGAATTGAGAGAGTATTGTCTGCCTAGCCAGGTACAGCCTGTCTAACATCCAGTTGCAGGCCAATTCGTCTGGCCAGGATTACCTTTGCCAGCCCAGCCCTGTACCAGAAGGAGGTATGGGAATGAGGACAGGGTTCCAGGGCCCATCTGGGTACTTGGTGAGGAATGCTAAGAAGGTTTAAGCACTGTGAGAGTCAGAAGGTCTTGCTGAGAAGGAAAAGGGGCCCAAAGGAATTTGAAATGCTGCCAGAAGGAATCAGGACTACCCAGGCACTTGGAATCCTGCATCATGTGTCTGAAAACTTCTCAGTTCTCTCCCTCTGCCTTTGTACTTGCTATCAGTTTATTTGTTCCTGCCACCCAGTTGTGGTTTACAGAGTAGCTGGATTGCTTTTCAGAGCTGCAGTTAATCTGGGGAAGCCATATCGCAAGCTGGAATAAGAGTTACTAGTTATCGAGTGCCTACTACACACCAGGCACTGGTGTCATATGAGTGCCGTATACATTAGCTCACTCAATTCCACAACAACCCTGTAATGAAGGTATTATCACCCCCTGTTTATAGATGATGACAGTGAAGCACAGAGAGGGTAGGTGTTATGTCCAAGGCTACCTGGTTAGTAAATGACGGCCAGAATCTGAATCTGGGACCTAATGCTCAAAAGTGTGTGCTTTCTACTTCCCTAGCGTAAGATGGCTCCAAATGGCAGAATAACACAAAGGCCATAAAGGAATTCTGATATTTTTTTTTTCTTTTAGGCCAAGGATTGGCAAATTATGGCCACAGATAGTATGTGGCTCACCACCTGTTTTTGTATGGGCTGCAAAATAAGAGTGCTTTTTACATTTTTCAGTAGTTGGGGGAAGAAAATCAAGAGGAGATTAATATTTTGTGACACATGAAAATTATAAGAAATTCAAATTTTAGTATCCACAAATAAAATTCTATTGACATATAACCACAGTCATTCATTTACATATTGTCTATAACTGCTTCTCTCTTTACAAAAGCAAAATTGAGTCGTACTGACCAACACCACATGTCGCACAAAGCATAAGATATTTACCATCTGGCACTTTACAGAAAAAATTTGCCAACCCCTACTCTAGGCAACAAGAGGGGCCCAGATGGGGCTTAAACCTATGGCAGTACTAAAGGCAAAGAGTTAAAGTTCAAAGCTGTTCAAGGTTGTCCTTGGAAGTACTGCAGTGGCAGTGAAAAAAAGGAATGTAACCAAATTTCTGTGGGCCCTGGAAATAGTTTCACAAGACCTCAGATTTGTTTGGGAATAAAAAGCATAGGAGGAAGGACTCTCCAATGTGTGGCATCTCTCATGGACACTAAAGAGATATTTTATGTGTGAGGTAATTCGTTCAGATTCATTGGGGCCCTTTTTTGTACCAGATACTATGTTTGATGCTGGTAATACAGAGATGAAAAAGATAATGTCCCTGCCTTTGAGGAGCTTGTGGCCTAGTGGGAGTGCTACCTCTGCATGTGTATCACCTGCTCTAAGTGTTATAACAGTGTACTGTGGGTTCCATTGAATGCTGAATGTAGTAGATACAGAGTAGATACAGAGTCAGCACTGCTTCCATGACTTGCAGGACTCCTCTCAGTCATTTGCGATGGGCCTTGAAGGATATTACGTGTTATTTTTCCAAGAGCTACACATCAGGCTAAGGGAAAGCCTGATCTGACAGTGTGAGCATTTGGAGCTGATGAGGATGGAGGAGAAAGACACATTAAAAATGGTTTAAAGATTCTGTGGCTGGGTAATTGTCAGGATGATGTGGTCTGACAGGGAAGAAGAAAAATTGGAGGAAGGAGGCAGTGGATGAGGGTTGGGGACAAGTCCAGTTTGGTACATGTGGTTTGAGGTAATGGTTAAACAATATCCAGCTTTCAGTTAAAAAGCTTTGTTAGAAATTTTGACACAACAGCGCAGAATTCACATTTAAACTGCATTTTCAGAGTGTTTCCACTGGGGAAAGGGAGAAATAACTATTTATTTCATATAGAAGTTGACAAAGCAACTTTAACTTATGATAGGCAGAGCTATGGGATTAAAAATAGCACTGAGGGCAACTCCCTCGGGTTCCCTCCCACTGTGGGAGCTTTTCTGTCCTCTTAATAAATCCTGCTTTCTTAAAATAAAAAAATAGCACTGAACATAGAATTAAGTCATCAGATTGAAAACTAGCAGTAATCATGCATTGGGCACAAAACCCCATTCATGCCACCTGCTGTTCTCAGCATCTCCTTTATCCTTCAGGCTCTGTTACCTATTGCCTGTGAGATTTGGGCCACAAGGAGACGGAGCCAGAGCTCATTTATCTCTAAAAAAGTGGGTAACAGGGAAGTGTCAGCTTTTATCTTTTGCTTGAGACTCCTCAGAGCAAACGGGGGGGGGGGGTCCATCTCTGTCATCTAGGTCCAGTTACATCCTTTTGAGTCTGGAATCCCATAATGGAAACAGAATCTGAAAATTTTAACTCAGACCCTTGTTAAGTCTTCCAGTGCTTAATGTCAGCATTTTCAAGTATTCAAATGTCTGATTTTAAAGACTGGGGAAATCTGTGCTTGCCTTGTGTATACTTAATTACTGGAGCAACTTATAGGTTTGGGGCATGTTCAGGTTCACCGTTATCTTCTCTGGTTCTCTTAAAGAAGTCAGCATTTTGACCGTGTGCTGTGGCTCACACCTATAATCCCAGCACTTTGGGAGGCCAAGGTGGGAGGATTGCCAGAGCCTACGTATTTGAGACCTTCCTGGGCAGCTTGGCGAGACCTCATCTCCACAATAAAAAAAAAATTAGCCGGGTGTGGTGGCATGTGCCTAAAGTCCAAGTTACTTGGAAGGCTGAGGCAGAAGGATCACCTGAGTCCAGCAGGTTGAGTCTGCAGTAGCCATGAGTGTGCCACTGCACTCCAGCCTGGGTGACAGAGTGAGAGACTCTGACCCAAAAAAAAAAAAAAAACAAAGTCAGCATTTTGATATTTGTTCTATTTCTGCTTTTTGAAGGTTTTTATATCAGAGGCTGATGGAGAACTGAAGAACGTCAGCTATTACAGAGGCCACTGAGACAATTCCTGTGCTGGAAGACACCGACATCCTGACAGGAGCATTCTTTCCTTTGAGATTTCAAGTTTACAGAGGATCACCTCTTAAAAGTTGAGGAAACCTTTGGGTAAGGTGGCATGAACATTTTAGACCAGAGGAAGGGCCAGGTAAGAACTTGCCTAAACAGATCGTGATTTTCAGCATTTAGTTGGGCAGCTGGGATTAGCTGAGCTGCCTGGCATGCCTCAGACAGTTACTTAGTAAGAGGGAACACATTTCTACTAGAATAATGTGGCAGAGGGTCATAGGGAAAACCAGGCAGTAAGTAAAACATATTTATTTACTTCTAATGAAGAAAGTGAACAACCACATTATAACATAATAAAATACAACAGAAGTATAAAAAGTGAAGTTCTTACACCTACCCAAACTCATTCTCCCTAATAACCATTGCTAATTATTTGAGATGTGTCTTTCCAAGTTTCTTTTTAAACTTACATATGGCATATATGATGACATTTTAAAGTGTTCTGTGTTAACACTCTAAGCTGAGGTTTCATCTTGCCTGGCAGGTTCTGATCATTGCCTCACTTGTAGATTTGGATCACATGAGGGCTGAGTGAGAGTGGTTTTGGCCTGATCTGTGAGTGTTCATAGTCCCTTGCTGCTATGTGTCACCCTTTTTTAACTCCAGCTTCCTAGTGGCACCATTGTATTTCCCTGCTTTGTATCCCAACCAGCTTCCCTTCCTGAGTTCTCCCCTTCTTTGAGGGCCCTACTGTCCTTATGGTTACCCGACTTTGGTTAATAAACATCCATTCATAAGTGTACATTGAGGCCCCCTCTGTCTCTGCCTGGCCCCATACTAGGCAGTGGGGAAAGAGAGGAAGAAGACACTTCCCTTAGTCTTTGCCCCCTACCTTCTCCAGTTGCTTGGCAGGATGAGGACCAGTTCTGCCTCTGTGGCTTCACTCCCTCTCTAACACACCTCTCCTCTTTCTCTTCCTTACTATCCCTGCTGTCCCTCGGTTGTAGGCCCTTCCTACTTTGCCCTGGGCTGCTGTCACAGCCTCTCCAAGTCCTCAGCCTCTCTCCAGCCTCCAGTTCTCCACATCACAGTCAGTTTCATGGCCACAAGACTCAGCCCAGTCACCCCCAGTCCCTCCCCATTGCCTGGAATGGTGATTCGCGGTCTACTCTCCAGTCCTTGGGGTCCCTGAAACCCTTTCAGGGGATCTGCAAGGTCAAAACCATTTTCATAATAGTTCTAAAATACTATTTGTTGTTGCAAAGCAACAGTGGGTAAGACTGCTAGTGTCTTGGTCAAGGCAGTGGCACCAAGCTGCGCTAGTAGCCGTTGCATTTTCACTGCTACACACTCATAGTTTTTTTTTAATGCCATTTTCACTCAAGAATGTCCTTGATAAAGGCAGCAAAAAATGTAAATTTTATTGAGTCTCAGCTCTTGAGTACACATCTTTTTAATATTTGGTGTGATAGAATGGATATGCTCGTAAAGCACTTCTGCCGCATACCTCCCAAAGTTCTGGAATTACAGGCTGAGCCTCCAAGCCCGGCCTAGTTTTGTTTTTCCATGAAAGAGTGACTGGTTGTTGGGAGTTGGGGCTGGAAGGGGGGGACAGGGACTGGGTGTCAGAGGGCCTCATAGGCTGTGTCATAAGCTTGGGAGACCTGACGGCAGCCAGCCTTTCTCAGCTTTATACACACCACTCCCCACTTAAATCTAGACCTGTTTGCTCTTTCTTCAGCACACAATTACTTTTCCCCTTTCCTGTCCTTCCTCTTGTTATTCCTTCCATCAGGAGATGCAGTGACAGAGCTCTGAAAGCTGTTTGTGATCCCAGAGTCAGAACAGAGGGAGAAGATGGGCCTGAACCAAAACCTTTTGTCTGTGGGACTCTCACTCCCAGCCTGTCTGAGGCCTGTGATGAATCCCCTGCTGGCACCCTTGCAGGCCTCACCCGCAGGTTCCACTGCAGCTGAGCGAGACACTGCAATCTGCATGATGCTGCTCAGCCTCACTATACACAGGCCTCTTAGGGAAGAACACCTTAGTCCCTTGCAGTCTCACAGACAGACCATCCTTTGAGCAGATTTTAGATGACTTCTTTCCTCCATCGTGTGTTAAACTTGACTAGCTTCTGTTTCAGTGTACCCTTTCCTTATTCCCTACATCATAACAATGCCATCAGAAACCAAATCACTCAACTAATGGATCAGGCAGAACAACGTAACCTGACAGCAGAACTGCTGTGAAATACTGTCTTGGACTTTGGTTTGTAGTTCATCTTTCATAATACGACAAAACACAAAATACAGAGTCATCTCAGAGGAGGAAGAAGAAACCTCCGATAAATTAGGTTTTAGATTAATGACGGTAATGTGGTAAGAATGCCTTTGTATTTACAGAATCTAGACCAGTGCTGCCCAACTTTTTGACATCATAGCACATGCCGAAAATGATACTGTTACACACACTTGAGTAGCAACCCAGGGACCAGGGGCCTGATGAGGGGATCAATATCTCATTCACAGCACATCAGCAGGGAAGCTCTATGCTAAGATTTATCAACAAAAGCATTCTTGTTGGTGCCTGACTAAACTTGAATTCAGCCGGCTCGGTGGCTCAGCCTGTAATCCCGCGCCTTTGGGTGGCTGAGGTGAGTGAATTGCCTGAGCCCGCGGGTTCGAGACCCGCCTGGGCAGCGAGACCTCATCTCTACAATAAATCAGAAAAACAGCCGGGCGTGGTAGCGCATGCCTGTAATTCCAGCTACTTGGAAGGCTGAGGCGGAAGGATCGCCGGAGCCCAGCAGGCGAGGTTGCGGTGGCCGGGAGCGGCCACTGCACTCCAGTCTGGGCGACAGAGTGAGACTCCAACTCAAAAAAAAAAAAACTTGAATTCAGAGCCAGAATGTCTAGATTTAAATCCCAGCTCTGCCACTTACTAGCTGTGTGGCTATGGGCAAATCACTAATCCCTTTGTACCTCAGTTTCTTCATCTGTAAAATCTGGATAATAATTCAACTCACCTCGTAGAGGTGTGAAGATTAAATAAGTCAGTATATGTAAAGTTGTATTTGTAAAGGGCCTAGAATGCTGCCTGGCATACAGTAACCGCCATGTAAGTATGTATATGTGCCGTAACTACTAGGAGTGTGAACTGTATCTGCTACTGCTCCTACTTCAAAGTCGTGAATGTTCTGGGGTTATTCTCCCCAGACCCCTCCCCATTGCCTTCCCCTCCATCCTGCATTTCTTGGTCTCAGCCACTTCCTTTCAGTTCCTGTTTCCATCCATTTTCTCATTCTCTGTTGGTTTTGCAACCCTCAGGTAGCTGTGCCTGAGAAGGCAGCTGAGTTGGTAATTATACACTTCAGCTTGCTCTCACTGCTGTTTCTTCTCAAGAAAACTCTTGTGGCTGGAGAAGATAGCTTGTACATGTTGGGAAGACCTTGAAAAGAACTTGAAAGTGGTTGAGAGAGGAGCATAACCTAAGTTTGCAGAGTTGAGATAGCAAAGTCATGTTCTTCAGGGGGGAGATGGTCATCTTTGGTATCACACCCCAGATGTGAGAGCTGGTGAGTTCTCTATAGGCACTGTCAAAATTTGGAATACAGTTCTGGTGACTGGGGACAGTGTGGCTCATGAGACTTTATGGAGAAATGACATAATTCTTTCAGAAGATAGGCCTTAAGTCTACCTCGTGCGGGAGAACAGTGGACAGGTACTTGCATGTCAGGAATATCTATTACTGTTTTAGTCCTCCTAGGTGAGACTCCTCGGCCCTTTCTCATGTGCTCTGTGAGTTCTCTGGATCTCTCCCCATGCAGGAGCTAGGCTGGTTCTTGGATCTGTATCCTTAACACCTACTGCACCTCCAGTATGATCAGTAATTGTTGACTAACAGTTTTACAAAGAGATGAAGCATGCATCCCTATTTTAATGGCGAAATCAAGATAAACATATGCCAGGAATAGGAACACTTACTGTTATTGATGATGGTGGGATTGCTTGTGATCTGACCTGCCATCCCTCCCCCACACCATGCTCTGTGCTTCTGCCAGCCTAAGTGATTGGCAGTGGCCTTCGCCAGCCCTGCTGCCCTTCTGCAGGCCTCAGTGGCTCCCTTCCTCAGCCTTGGACACTCTCTCTCAGGCCCCAGCCTGGCTAGTCCCACTTACTCTTCAGGTCTCGGCTCAGCTGTCTCTTCCTCTAGTTACCCAGCTGGTGCTTCCCTGTCTCAGCACTTGTCCTACTGTGTTGACACTGTTTTACATGTCAGCAGATTTAAATGCCATACAGGCAGAGACTGTATCTTCTCCTGGCTAGAAAGCAAAAGACCTTTTGTGTCATTGACCTCTTTTTGAGGAGTTTGTTAGGGAATTGATAGAATTCCTGAACTGAATTCGTGGAGCTGAATAGCCTTATTCTACCCTGTCTGCAGAGCAAAGGTGTGCCCACATTTCTTTCAGATTGTGCGCCTGGTACCTATAGGGCCTGAATGACAGGTACTACACCTAACACTTAATATATGCATCTTTTCATGTCATTTCCATTTCGGTGCACAGTTTCTGATGAATTCTCTGTGTCTGACACTGTGTCGTGACTTGTAGGAAAGACAGAGATAAACAGGGGACAGTCTTCTCTTTAGGAACATGGGGGAGCTCTCAAGGTCAAATAAAAGCAATGCTTTAATGGAGCTTCTCGCGGGGTATTTGGGAGCAGAGGGTGGAGCACCAACTCTTAGCTCTGCTCAGTAATACCCTCTGGTTCTATCGTGCCTAACTGATTTCCAAAGTGTTTGCACAAACCTGAACTCATCTGGAGGTATGAGGGAGGCGCAGTGTCAGGAACTGTTGGGTTGGGTTTTGATGGCCTAGAAGAATTCCTAGGCAAAGGGACACAGGTGAGCCAGGGTACAACTAGATTGTGGGGTCTCATGCCCTGAGGAAGCATTAATCCCATGAGTATGTATGTGATGAAAGCCCTACAGCCCTGCCAGTGGGCTCAGATAAAAAAAGTTTTTTATTGTATCTTGGGTATAATGACCATTTGTATTCCTAACCCTGAATTGTACCCCACATCTTTAAAATAAAAATTTAAATAAATAAGCTTTTTTAAAATGTATCTTGGAGGCATCCATCACCTCTGATAAAATAGTGTGTAGAAGGCTAGGCACTGTGGTGCACGCCTATAGTCCCAGCACTTTGGAAGGCCAAGGTAAGAGGATTGCTTGAGCCCATGAGTTCGAGACCAGCCTGGTCAACTTGGCAAGACCTCATCTCTACAATAAATCAAAAAATTAGACGAGTGTCATGGTATGCGCCTGTAGTTCCAGCTACTTGGAAGGCTGAAGCAGAAGGATCACCTAAGCCCAGTAGGTTGAGTCTGCGGTAGCCATGAGCGTGCCACTGCACTCCAGCCTGAGTGACAGAGTGAGACTCCAACTCAAAAAAAAAAAAGAAAAAGTAGTGTGTGGCAGGCTCCACATGAGGAACTAGCTATCCCTTGGTGAGACTAAGATACCTCTCCCCCCTACACACACCCACCACCCCATGTAAACAGGGAAGTTAAGCATGTTTCTTTCACTTCACCATCTTCCTACATTTTTCCTTCCTAGTTTCAGAAACAGCTCTCCTTCAACAAGTTCTGTTTCCAAGGAAAGTCTTAACCATTTGTCCCTTCTGGCGTACCCTCTTCCATTGAAATCCATGCAGAATAGACCAGGTACTCTATCTTTTTGTATGTAAAGCCATAAAATCTAATATTGAGTGTGCAGCAGTGCTCAGAGGTATGCCTCTTGCACGAGAGGCTCCCTCAGCCCTGCCGTGGTAAAAACCAAGTATAAATTGTCGCTAACAGGGTTTTCTAGTTAGAGTCGTAAGTGTGTCTGAGCATCCCCTGTGAATTATAACGCTGCCAGCTCTCCTGCTGCTCCTCTGCATTGCCTGCCTTTTGGCTGTTTTGCTTGTCCTTAGGCCCTCCATCAGAGCATGGACAGGGGAAGGAGAAAGCTGAAACCCAAATCTGTCTCCTCTGCACTTGGCCTGCAGTGTTGATGAGAAAATAGATGGGGACGGGTTGCCACTGGATTGCTCACAAGGTCAGGGCAAGGGGACAGCGGACAGTCTGCTGCCACTGTGGCCAACACCCCCTCCCTGAGCTCCTGAAGATGAGTGACCCTGTGTTTTATTTCTATAGAATTTCTTGTTATGTTTAGTAAATGCATTTGGGCAGGGATTTTCCTTTTAATTTACCTTGGTGAGGGTGGGTGTTCCAGTGCTGATATTTAAGTTGTTTTTGTTGTTGTTGTTGTTGTTTTGTTTTGTTTTTGAGTCAGGGTCTCACTTTGTTGCCCAGGCTGAACTGCAGTGTCACTATCATGGTTCACTGCATCCTCGACTTCCTGGGCTCAGGCAGTCCTTCCACCTCAGCCTCCCAAGTATCTGGGACTACAGACACATACCACCACGTCTCCTTATGTTGTTCAGGCTGGTCTTGAACTCCTCGGCTCAAGCAGTCCTCCCCGCTTGGCCTCCCAAAGTGCTAGGATTACAGGTGTGAGCCACTGCACCCAGCCTGATGTTTAATTCTTTGACTTTATCAGGTGTTACGATCTCCACACACATCTTGTGCTTGAAGCTGTTAGCTAGAGTCATATTTTGAGAAACTCTGTGGGTTCCTTTTTCCCATGTGTTTATCTTTTCTCTAAAGTATAATTGAAAATCCACTATCCCCCAAGTGGAAGGAAGAATGCACCTATTGAACTGTCAGGCATTTGACTGTTTAACCAGTGCTTTCTGGATTGTGCTGTTGAAAAGTGCCATTCTGTGTGCTTTCTCCTAATGGCTACTGTGTGCTTGCCTCTGAGGACAGTGTATAGATGTGTATCAGTATTAATCAGTCTTCCTAGCAGACTTGCCATTTCTTTTAGCTTGTGCAGCCGGATCCTCTGAGAAGAGAGTGGGCCTTTCCCCTCAATGGGCAGAGAGCCAGCTTCCATTTTAAAATCTCCTAGAAAAAAACCCAACAACCCAGAGCCTGTGTTTATTGAAGGTTGGTCTAAAAGTCTCTCACATTGTATGCCCCATCAGCACTCGAGTGCCTCCATTTTAGAAGGATGTAAAGGTTTAATCACCCTGGTGGGGATTTAGACCCAGAGACTTCAGAGAAATCTTATTATTTCTAACTGCAGGCAAAGAGTATTAAGGCTCCACTCTGGATCAGGGGCATGACATGTTCTATAAGTAATTTATCTTTAACAGGGGAAGGCCCATACTAGAGTGTCTTAGAAACAGGACTGTGATTGGGCACTGGTTCACTGTTCCTCCTCTTCTTCCCTGTCTCAGTGTCTTGCTTATTCTTTCTGTCCGACCCTTTCCTGCCCTCTCTGTCCAATGTCTGAATGTCTATCACAAATCCTCCCTTTAAGATGGGGAGCCAGGTGCATGCCAGTGAGAGATAATAATGTTTTTGCAATTAGTGACCTCATCCAGCAGCCTGGTCTAGACCTGTCAACTGCATACTTCTGAACAGGCCCTACCTGCAGCCTTTCCAATCGAGGGGCTTTGGTGAGAGGACGCTGTGGACTCCACAGATACTCGAGGCTGTGCTCTTGAACTTGGAGTCCTTTGGGCCCATTTGCAGCCCCAACCCCAACCCTCTTGTTATCATCACAGAGGTCATCTCTACTGTGACTTTTGTACCCCTGTGCACATCCTTAGGGGTGCTACTGAGCCTATGATCCATCTGTATGACGCCCGACTGCCCCCACCTTTGCCTGGCTCCTTGGGTCCTGCCTTTCTGGCACTGAGGCAGGAAGATGTCACAGGTGGCCTTCTGCTTATGGACTCATTGTTCTGTTTGGGGAATATAGTTTGACTGGTGGCAGATCTAAATCCATGTGCTAATAAGCTTGATTAAAGCAGGATTCTGCTGTCCTCTTTTAATCTAGCCTGCCTGTCTGAGCTCCTTCCCACAGTTAATGATCTCCTATAATGGTTTTGCCTTTAGTTTTGCCTCCTGGGTCAAAACAAATCAATAGTCCTCACAGATATTTAAAAACCATCAGTATAAAGCTCCTGCCCACCCACCTTTTCCTTCTGGGAAAATTTATAGCTTGATCTGTGCAGTAATGTTTCTCTTACATTTCCTCTTGTCTCTCAGAGATGGGCAGCAGTGAACCCCTTCCCATCACAGACGATGACAGAAGGAAGAAGAAGAAGCGGAAGGCCCGGGCCACTGACTCCTTACCGGGGAAGTTTGAAGGTTGGTCATACAGCTCTCCTAGATCCGACCTGTGGTTCCCCAAGCATGGGAGAGGCATCCTGGTAGCCCACGGGTCAGAGCATAGGGTGCATCATCTTAGAGCCAGCTCTTGGTTATCTGTGTGATAGGGAGGAAAGATGAGGTGAGGGACTTTACACAGGGGAGTAACAGAGACAGCAAGGATGGAAAAAGCTCTCAGATGATGCACTGGCTTCCTTTCAATGGTCTGAGCATCTCATCAGGAGGCAGAAAGACCAATCTATCAAGTCGTCTCATGGAGTGAGATTGCCTAAGAGTGTTCCAACTCATCCTCAGCTGTTCCTGAGGGGGCTGCTGAGAGGTAGGACAGCCACATAGAGGAAGAGAGAAACTTAAGTCTCCTGTAAGCCTCTCAGAGGTTTCAGGCACCTGTGCTGTATGTGTTTAACTTCATTTTAAAGAGTGTTCGTTGTGTACAGGGGACATGATGTTGGGTTATCAAACATTTTGGACACTCTCTACATGCAAGGCACTAGGTTCAGTGTGGGTCCTGTTATCACTGGGCATGTGATGGGGTGAAGTGAAGCATCAGACACTTGTGCAAAGGCCTGAAAGGATCAGTAGTTAGTCCTTGGAGTAGCACATCCCCCTTCATCTGTTTTGTTTCTTTTCTTGCAAGACTGGAAATAGCTTCCCCTCAGGGTCCCTCCTTCCATCCTTGCAAGCACACTAATGAGTTGACTGTTTTGTAGAGTGGCTCTAATACGCACTCTGTAAGTCAGGACTGTTGGACCTCCAGCCACCTACCTGTGCTGATATGTGTAAAGGACTAATGCTGAAATGTCCCATGTGAAAGAAGCATGTCATTTAAGACACTTGCAAACAACAGTGTGCCACCTGTTCTCATAAATAAGGCAAGGTCAAACTATGATTGAACCAAGAAGGTACTTTATGCAGGTTTGTTTGTTGTTGTTGTTGTTGTTGTTTTGTCTGCCTTTAACTCAGACAAATGTGTGTGGAGTTGGGGTGGGGATAGGGGAGAGACAAAGTCCCAAAGGTTTTAGAATTGTTTCCTAATCAACAGGTCTTTTGCACTTTCAATGAACACAACAGAGTATTTCCTGTTGCCTAAGGATAGCTTGTGCGGTGAGAGGACTTCTGCTAACTAAGAGTGGTAACATCTCATTTAATGGTTTAAAGTCTTCTGCTCAGGTTTAAATGCTAGGCTGTCTCAAGAGGAAAAGGCTGAAGAATGGAGGCCAAGGGAGGTAGAGGTCAGCTCAGCAAGGACCGTGATGGAGATATGGCTTCCTTTGGAAGGGCTCAAAGAGCTATGCTGTTTGTGAGCCTGGACAGGTCACAGCTTGGTTCTTTCAACCCAGGCCTATTACTCTGTTATGACCACTATGACTCAGTACCCCAAAAACCTCAAGGCATCCTTTGCATCCTGCTTCTGTCTCTTATTTCCTGTGGCTGACTTCTGGAAACTTCTCAGAAACCTCCGATGACTTCCATTGTATGTGGTATAAAACAGAACAGTGTTTTATTCCCCCTTTATATCACCAATGCTTAGCACAGGGCTTGGCACATAGTAGGTGCTCAACAAATGAGTAAATAAATGAATGATGGTCATTCCAATCATACCCCATCTATGAGGATCCTCAGATTCCCTAAACAGATTTAACCTCTTCCTTCCCCTGCTTTTTTTTTTTTTCTTTAACTGTACCTTATCCCTCTAGGGTAGTACTCACCTGTGCTTGGTTTATTCTGGGCCACTTGTGCATGTTTCTGTCTCCTCCACTGGACTGAGGCCCTTAGCAAGGAGGGACTATATTTTATTCCTCACTCTGTCTCTGTTATGCTGTCTGGTACATGGTAAGTGCTCAGGAAGTATGTGCTAAGTTGAAACTCTTTCACTGGCCTTATCTTTAAAATGAGGAGCAGGATGTCTTCCACATGGTCTTGCTGAGAAACTGAGTCTTGAGGTAGCTGGAAAGCTACATGTCTTCCACATTACTGAGTGCTACAGAGTCATCGAACAGAGTCTGTTCTGCCTGTGCTGTCCAATTGAGGAAGCTGAATGACAGAAGCTCTTCTTCCCATCTGAGCTCACGGTGGGGTGACTCATCATGTTATTCCTCTCATCTGTTTCACCTCTAGATGTGTACAAGCTGACCTCTGAATTGCTTGGAGAGGGAGCCTATGCCAAAGTTCAAGGTGCTGTGAACCTGCAGAATGGCAAAGAGTATGCTGTTAAAGTGAGTGTCTCATCTGAATGCCAGGATTTTTTTTTTTTGGAGTCTCACTTTGTCGCCCAGACTGGAGTGCAGTGGCCACTCCCGGCCACTGCAGCCTCAACCTGCTGGGCTCCGGCGATCCTTCCGCCTCAGCCTTCCGAGTAACTGGAATTACAGGCGTGCACTACCACGCCCAGCTAATTTTTTGATTTATTGTAGAGATGAGGTCTCGCCTGCCCAGGCAGGTCTCAAACCCACGGGCTCAGGCAATCCACTCACCTATGCCTCCCAAAGGCACGGGATTACAGGCTGAGCCACCGAGCCCGGCTTGAATGCCAGGCTTTACTTGGCAAATAGTCATTCCTAGTTTGTCCTAATGCAAATAAATTTTACATTCCATAAGAATGAAAGCTCTGAAGCTATATTCACTGGATCCAAATCTTGGTTTCTCTACTGGCTTACTTACCGTGTAACCTTGAGAAAGTTACTCAACTTCTCTCTTTCAATTTCCTCATCTATAAAATGGGTGCAATGATAGAACCTACATAGAATTGTTGTGAGGATTAAATGTTAATAAGTGTGGAGTGCCTAGAATAATGCTTGGCTCATAATAAGTCACTTATTATTCTGACAAAGTCAGCTTCAGGGAGTGGACAGCTAGATTTGGAAGTAGAAGGTCTACCTGAGTTTCTGTTTTGACAAGCTATTACTATTTGACTTTGGGCAAATACTTTACTATTTGAACCTCCTTAAGCCTGAGTTCCTGCATCTCTAAATGATGAAACCTGCCCCTCTTTCTCATGAGGTGGTTTGAAGATGAAAATAAAAATGCACCAGTGGAGGTGTTATAGAAACACTTCACCAATTACAAAACACTGTACAAGTGATTTGGTTATCATGATGATGAGGATTAAAAACCCAAGTGACCAAGCACTCAGCCTTGGGGCAGGAGAAGTGGCTTCTGGCCTCAGTGCTGCCTTTAATTAGCTGCATGGCCTTGGAGTGGCTCATGTGCAGAAGGGCTGGATCTAGAGCAGCGGTTCTCACAATGTGGTCCCCAGACCAGCAGCATCAGCATCCCCTGGGAACTTGTTAGAAATACAGGTTCTTGTTCTCACTCATAAGCAGACCTTGAACAATTATAATACTATAAGAAAGCGAATGGTAGTAGTGGGAAACTGGGGGGGGGATTTGGCAGTTGAGGGAAACTGCTAGGAGAGGGAGGGGCATATCTCATCAAGAAGGGTACCTGCATAATCAACGTTTGCATACCTAACCCTGAATCATACCCCACATCTTTATTTAAAAAAAAAAAAAAAAAGAAATACGGGTTCTCTGGCCCTATCCTTACTGACTCAGAAGCTAGGGGTGGGCTGAGCAGTATGAATTTTTATTTTTTTGAGTTGGAGTCTTACTCTACCACCCAGACTGGAGTGCAATGACACACTCACGGCCACCCCAGCATCCACCTGCTGGGCTCCGGTGATCCTTCCGCCCCAGCCTTCCAAGTAGCCGGAACTACAGGCACATGCTGTCACACCCAGCTAATTTTTTATTTATTGTAGAGACGAGGTCTCACCAAGTTGTCCGGGCTGGTTATGAAAGCAGTGTGAAGTTTAACAAGCTCTCCAGGTGACTCTGATACTCACTAAACTCGGAGAACCACTGATGTAGGTAGGGGAATTTTAAACAGTTCTGTGTCAGGATCACCTGGAGAGCTAATAGCACACAGAGATCCAGCCCTCTTGATATAGGACAGGGCCTGGGTCTTTGTAGTTTTACCAAGTTCTGCAGATGATTCTGATACCCACCAAAGTTTGAGGACTACTGATCTAGAGAAAAGATTTTATTAAGTCCAGGGGAGCAATCCAGTCTTATTTCCAGTTATCCACCTGAACCACCAGGTCTAAGCACTGCCTCATTCTGTCAAGCCCACCAAACTGACTCCTGAAAGAAATGTTTTCTTTTAAGCTGGGTGCAGTGGCTCACACCTATAATCCCAGCACTTTGGGAGGCGGAGGCGAGAGGATTGTCTGAGCCTGCAGGTTCAAAACCAGCCTGGGCAACATGTTGAGACCTCATCTCTACAATAAATCAAAAATTAACTGGGCATGGTGGCACTCACCTGTGGTTTCAGCTACTTGGAAGGCTGGGGTGGAAGGATCACCTGAGCCCAGCAGGTCAAGGCTGTGGTAGCCATGAGCAGCATGCCACCGCACTCCAACTTGGGCAACAGAGTGAGATTCTGACTCAGAAAAAAAAAATTTTTTTTTTTTAACCAATGCACACAGTCCCTCCCAGCTGTGGCTTATAAAGGAGAATGCTTCTGTTAAACCATGTTCCTTTTTGCTGGAGTATTGCTTCACATGGTAACAAAAGAACTGTCTCAATTTCTTTTTGGAAACAGATCAGTATAAATTCAAGTAATTTTCTAAAAACATGCCTAAGTATGGCAAAAATCACAAATATAAACTGATTTTCAAAGACTTGAATACATTTATGGATGCAAGATCTATTTCTCCAAGATTAGATCACAAGAGGAAAATCTGGCCCTTCTTCCACATCCCCCGAACATCCTTGGGTGAACACTGGACCCTGGCATGGCAATTCTTTGGTTTCAAAAGTTCTGCCTGTGCCTCGTGTTTCCCCGACTCATTGAAAGCTCCCTAGAGATGGGCCACTTCTCCCGGTATGGCTCCATAGTACTTGGTTTATTACAGCTTTCTCTGGAGGCACCCAACTGATGAATCCTAGAGTCTCAGAATTGGAATGGAAGTTCACGATCATTTGATCCTGGATTTCCTCTATGACTCCCCAGACAGTTGTCCATGTTCTACTCCTCCATCTCTAGTAGCAAGAGCCCATTATCTCCTCAGAGAAAACTGGGCTGTTTCTGGAAAGCTTGCCTACTAGAAAGTTCCTCCTGACTTTGATCTGAAATGCTTGGTGAGTGAACTTGAAATAGCTTCTGTTCCCCAGCCCTGCACCTCTCTGTTCAGAAAATGGGCCCACAGTGGTTTACTAACAGGCCAGGATTTGTTAGAAAATTGCCACAACATAGTGGAGAAGTTTGAAGTCTCTGAATGAAGGATCAGGATGTCATCATCCTTGCTGCCCCTCTGCACTTGGGAGTTCTACAACAGAGCCAGGCTCTGCAGAAGAGTTGCCCACAGGCTCTACTTGCAATGGTTTGGGGCTCTGGATGGGTCCAGAGAGCTTTTCAGAGATAGCCAGTCCCTGTGTAAACCACCTGCTCATCTGCTGGCGTATTCATCATCCAGTCCTTCAGTCAGCATTTGCCAGCATCTTCCAGCATAGGTGTGGAGGGGGAACAGCCCATGGTATCATAGGAGAGACAAGGGCTCGGGTTCTCTAAGACGTCGTAGAGGGTCTAAGCAGGTGTAGGATGGCACAGGCTTTGGAGCCAGCTGTGGGCTGTGGTCACATGTTTCACACCTTCCTGTCTTTTGATGTCGTTGTAAGGGTTAACTAAGATGGTACAAATAAATTTCTTAACACAGTGCCTGCCAAAGAGTGAATTTTCAGGAGGAAGTGCATACTGCCGAAGGCATTGCAGGAGGGCAAATGAACTGAGCCTCAAAGCTTTAGCTCCTCTTCACAGTGACCTCCATCACCCTCTCCCTCCCTCTAGCACTAGAAGACCCTTCAGTAGAGGTGGTAAATGCTTACCCCTAAGGCAGAAAGAGATGCCCGTTGGGAGTAGGAGCTGAGTAAGATAGTTCTTTGTCTTACTGGTTGCCTCAGTCTCCCCTAGGCAGCTGGGGGCAGCAGCTTCCTATGCTTTCTTGGCATTGTGATGGGCAAGAGTCAAATGGGCTCAGCTGGGCTGAAAAGCCCTCGGGCCAGTCTATTGCTTTGCGACAGAGACACCATACCTGTGTCATCAAGGCCTACCCCAGATTTCCACTCAGAATTGGACTTGGACTGAATTTGGCCGTGCATTCTCCCAGGGGGCTGTTTTGAAGTCAGATGGGTATACATGACAGATTTTATTCCTCCCACAGATCATCGAAAAACAAGCAGGGCATAGCCGGAGTAGGGTGTTTCGAGAGGTGGAGACGCTCTATCAGTGTCAAGGAAACAAGTGAGTACAGTGTGGGGAACTTGCTGTTTCTTGGGGTGGTGCTTGGCCGCAGAGAAGGCTACTTCTTACCATCTCCTCCTGACCCTATAACTTCATGCAACTCCTTCCATCCTTTGGTGTTAGAAAGAGAGGTAGGAAAAGCAGCTGTAACAGCAAAGAAGCTATCTGCTCATCTGAAACACCGGTCATGCCAGCAATTCAGGCAAGTTAGAAGAGTGAGCAACTGAATCAGTGACTGCTTGAGGAAAAATGGGGTTTATTTCTCTTGAGTACCTGTGGAAACCAGGTTGACTGAGTGTTGCCTGGTGGAAATCTTTAGGGACCCGCTTTAATACTGAGATGAGGATAAGGATGAGGAGAGCTGTTGAGAATGTGTACTGCTGTTTCTGCTCGGAGATTTACTTATGTGCAGATACACTGAGGTACTGGAACCTTGTCTAACACTCCTTCTAGACAACCGGGCCCTGGTCATCCCTAGCCCCGGCTCAGTCTGCCTGCCACCAGCTCCAAATGAGTGGTTCTCCCACTGTGGCTTTAAATCAAGGTCACCACTAAGACTCTGCTTCCTGCTCTCTCCCTCCTTGGCAGGGTCAGCAGTGAGCCAGTGGCCTGGTATTGATGGCTTTGTTATTAAGCTTGGAGGATGGGAGCTGCTGTTGATTTAACTCCAGGCACTGCCTCTACAATTTTCTTTCAAATTAGGCCATTCTGCCCATCTTATTTGGGAGCCTTCACACTAGTAAAAGCCTGGTGTCTCCCAAAGTGGTCAGCATTTTTTTATGAGGGACAGATTTTTATTTTTGGCCCTGCAGCTTCTTAGTTCAGCATTAGAGACTCTACTTGGTTTATTTTGTTCTTTAAAAGAAAAAAAGCCCCCAACACCTCCAATATCCAGGCTGGTGGCTTCCCTACTGAGTTACAAGACGACCTTGTTGGCAGAGCACTGAAATGCTCGGGCAGACAGAGAGTGCTCACCGGGGAAGGCCACAAGTGCTACGGTGGCCAGGAACGCGGCCGTTTCATTAAGCAGCGCTTAGCAGTTAGGGTCTAGCGGTGCCCACGTTAGGCCCCAAGTCTATTTGACAGATGTTTCCATTTTCTCCAGGCAATGTAAATACTGCCCCATGATTTATGGGCAAGAGGGAGGGCAAGTAATTATTTGCTGCTTGCCTCCAGGACACACACCTACTATTCAGTGTTATTAGCCGCAATTGCTTCCAGTCGGCTGCAGATTTTATTCAGTTTAATGTGACCGGGACTTTTTTATAACTCTACCTAGTGGGTTTTAGGGCTGGGGTTTGACAGCACAGACTTGGTGAAAACACCAGAGACTAAACATTATGGAAAGATAAGGTGACCTGAATCTTGCTAACACCATTGGCTGTTTCCAGACGTGGGTCTTTAATAAGCATTCCGATTTCAAGTTGATTTCTACCCTGCTACAGGGCGTTGTGTATTTTGTTGTTGTTGTATATTTGTAAGTAGACTTTAATAAATAATACCATTTCCCCCCTTTTCCCTCTTCTCCTATTTTCCCTGTTTAAGGAACATTTTGGAGCTGATTGAGTTCTTTGAAGATGACACAAGGTTTTACTTGGTCTTTGAGAAATTGCAAGGAGGTACTTACTGTTGACTATGTGTTTGGACTTCTGATTAAGACCCAGGGTGGTGATCATCCATCATGAATCCTAGAGACTTCTAAAACAAGTCAAGCTAATAAAAAGGATGAAGGACTTAAAAACTGCCCTTGATTTGGGAGAAGGGAGGCCGGAGGGAAGGATGATAATTAGCATTTTGCAGAGCTTAGAATGTCACCTGTGTGGGCATTTTATAAACGCCTTTTCATTATAATAGGAGTCATATATAGATACATTTAGTCATCGATTTATCAATCCCGTTTTGACACATTCTCTACTTAACTAAATTAATTAGGGGGTAGAGGCTTTCAGATACATTGTGAAGTCTAGAAAGGCTAAAACGGAGGAAGGAAGATTCCCATTGTTTGGGACACAGACCCAGGATGGAGAGAAGGCCTGAGAATGTGCTGTCCTTCAAATGGAAAGATGCCATCGCCCACACATGTGATCACTAGGATGTATATTTAAGTTGCTTTCTGATGTCTTGAAGGGGATAGAGAAGCTCTTTTCCTCCCCACCACTCCCCCAACCCTAGGACACATTTGCAAGGTAGAAGGTGCAAGGATGTCTGGAGCTGCATGGAGAGCCATACAGAGGGCTTGGTGGTTGAGGGGTATACTTTAGAAATCAGCACAGCTAAGCTTAAGTCTAGCTCTAGCGCTTACTAGCCATGTGACCTTGGGCAAGTCATTCAGCCCTTCCAACAGTTTTCTCGTCTATAAAATAGGAATATTGACAACACCTACCTCATTGGGTTGCTGTGAAGATTAAATGAGATAATTCATGTGAAATACTTAGCACAATGTCTAGTAGGCACTAAGGGCGCAATACATGTCAGCTATTAATATTACTAAAATAATTGGGTATGCTGAAGGCTGTCTTAAAAGTATGTGGAATATTGTGCTCTGCTTTTCCTTTTAGCAAATTTGGAAACCAGCAGCTCGCTAGAGCAGAGCAAGTTAGAGCCTAGTCAGGAGTCTGTTTTCTGGGAACGTTCCTTAGCATGTTGGGATCCTTTGATTATTTAATCTGGCAAGTGAATGATCTTTGGCAGCTCTTCCCCTTCTTCTCTCATCCCCTCCCTATGCCACAGAAAAACACAAATAATAAATAAACGTGTGCCATTTTTAGGATACAGAGATGATACCACCAACCCAGAAATACTAGCTTCCAGTAGTGAATATAGCCACATGAAGCTATACCACATGTTCCTGCCTGTGTGCTCCACACTGCCCAGCAACACAGGACTGACTGCGAGTTGCATGTTTGTGATGCTAGCTGGGGTCCTCTGACCCAGGGATAAAGAGAGTGTGGTTGACTCAGGACAGTCCATCCCCTCAGCAGAGAGAAGTCTGCACAGGCTCTGAGGCCTGACTGGCCTGGGCCTACTTAGACTTCACTCCTTCCTACTGTGTGATCTTGGGCAAGTTGTTAAACCTTTTTTATTTTTTGTCTTCTGGCTTCCCATCTAAAAAATGGGGATGACTACACTTGTGTTGAGAATATGACAGTTTATTTAAAGAGCTCTAGTACCTGGCACTAGTAACTACTCAGTAAATATTAGTCATTGCTAACAAAATAATAATATTAATAAAAAATGGTAAAGTTTAGAGCAAAAAGCAGTTTCCCCCTTTTCTAGGCCTTTACGTACCTGGTGAGGGTGTAGCATTTCCATGTGAAGGCTTGTACTCTTGTTTGGTTTTGAGATCAGATGCAGAGAAGAAAATGTTCCTACAGAAAGGCCTCCTCGGCGCCATGTGCATTCCCTTCTAGTTCCTTTTGATTGCAGAAGCCAAATCGGCCCCAGGGGCATTGATATCTTTTGGCCCCACAAATAGTTGTTCTCTCTCCCTTCTGATCCCATCATAGACAGGCACAGAAGGTAGCGGTCCAGTTTTGTTCAACAGACAATGCTGGTACCTCCTCTGTGCTAGGCCTTGCACTTGGTGCTGGACATGTAGCAATGAATAAGCCTATCTCCCCACCCCAAACTTGGGAAAATGTGACCTCTAAGAAGTTGTACTTACTAGAGCCTGAAATGGCCTTCTTGTGTGTCCCCTCTGCTCCCCAGGCTCCATCCTAGCCCACATCCAGAAGCAGAAGCACTTCAATGAGAGAGAAGCCAGCCGAGTGGTGCGGGATGTTGCTGCGGCCCTTGACTTCCTGCATACCAAAGGTGAGCCCAGCCTTTGCCTTGGTGAGTGGATTGGGCTAGCCAGTCCCTGGGTACCAAGGGAGAGGGGACAGGCCAGGCAGAGGGCTTGTACAGGAGATGGTACAGCTGGCAGGCAGCATGCTCACCCATGGGGTGGCGGGGCAGTCCAGGATGGCTCCTAGGCTTATGCTGTGGATGGCAGGTAGGGGTTGGTGCTGTTAAGCAGGATAAAGGATGCAGGAGAAAGAGCAAGGAGGAAAAGAATTTCACATTGAATAAAGTATGTGTGATTGTGTATGGATGATATTCTTTTTCTTACATTCTTATCCTGATGAAGAACAGAAGAGTCAGGCGTATCGTGACCTTTTTAGTATGAATGTGTTAGTTTTATTCCTTCTAGTCTTTTAAAATATATCACCTGCATCTCTTTTTTTTCATTGGCATTATGGGATTTATGTGGTTTTATATATCTTTTTTATAAATGAAAAATACATTTTTTATTAACACATAAGTTTGAGGTATCTGTTGAGCATCACAGTGGTAACTGCAGGTTGTTAGTATTTGAACTACACTTCGGTTTACAGCTCCTTTCCTAGAATTGATTATTTAAGAACTTTTGTAGTAAATTAAATCTTTTTACAAATTAAGTGCTTTCACAGTTCCATAAATCTATTTGACTGTTATATATATTTTTTCAAATTTGCCTGACAGTAGTGCCCTGGAAAAAATGAATTCTGGGCTTCCCCTTTCTTCCAGCTGTGTGCTCTCAGTAATAATGCCTACCCTCTGGTGAGAATTAAGAGAGATAATAACATCAACAATAATTAACAATTTTTAGCACTTGTTACATGGTAGGTGCTATTCTAAGCTGTTTGTATATAGAGATTCATTTATGTAATTGTGTGTATCTTATGTATGTGTCATATATGTATAACATAGACGGGGCATAGTTCCTGGCACATCATAGTTCTTCAATACATGTGATTTCCTCCATTCTCATGCCCACCAGGCAGAAGCCCTTTCGTTCCAATATTAATTCCCTTAAAGTGAAGCATTCTGCCGGGTGGAGGTGCGGTAGAGTGAATAATTTGTGACTTTGGTCTACTTCCTCCACCATCGTGGATACTGGCCAACTGCGTTGGTTGTGAGTGCTCAGAACCAGTTGTAGGCATACCATTCACACGTCGCACCTTGTTCCCGCGATCCGGTGCAGACTGGTGTGGCTTGCATGAGAAAGGTTCAGGTTCACTGGCCCCACCTCCTTCCTCCAGTGGCTAGAAGAGAGCTGCATACTGCCAGTGCCCAAGTTGAGGCCCTGACTCCCACCTAGGATGAAAATTCCTGGAAGGGGGTGTCCATACCTTCTGCAGCATGATGAATAGCAGCAGCTCTGTTTCTGAAAGCTAGGATGCATGTAGGTAACACCTGCCTGACAAAGATTTACAACTGCTCCCCAAGCTGCCTCCATAGATTGCAAAACTGGGTCATACTTTTTTATAAGATCCATATCTTGGAGGGGGTGGTAAAGGCAGTTTTATTTATTTTTTATTTATTTATTTGCAAGAATGCACTGAAGGGCACGGAGGCTGGTGGCGTCTTAGGAGTTCCAAAGTGCTTGTTAACATCTAGCTGGCCAGCCGTCCATGCGACTAGAAGTTGGAGGGGATGAAAAACGATTTCCTGCTGAACTTGGCTGTTTGCTAAATAACTTCACACCATGAAGATGAATTGGGCAAGAATGGGTCAGCCCTGAAACAAGTTCCATACTTTTAAATACTGGACACCGTGCCGCATGACCTCTGGGAAATGAACCGGAGCAGCTCAATGGCTGCTGTGCTCACACAGGCAGCCCCATTATGGCAGCCCGGCTCTCTGAGTTCTCAGGCTGAGGGACGACTGGGCCGTGGGCACCTATTTGGAGAGTAAGGCTCCATATGCGGTTCGTGATCCTTCTGTGGGAGCACTTGCTGTAATGGAAAATATCTTTCACTTTTAGTGCGGCGAGCGCAACCCGACTCAATTTGTGCAGCCTGGACTGGGTTGCTCTGGGTTCTCATTCAATTAGGTGACTGATGAAGTTACTTAGCTTGCTGGAGCTCAGGTTTTTCTTCTTTCATGAAGTGCCTCCGGTGGGCTGGGCCGCACCTTTGCTTCCAGCAGGGAATCGGAGGCTACCGAAGAAGTTGGTCATCGAGGGAGTTTTAGTGGAGCAGATTCTGCTTGTTTCCATTGCCTGGGAGATCCTCTACTGCTTTTCAGTACTTGCAGGCAGTAGCTAGCTGTTTGACTCTTGCTCAGTCTTGTCTCTGTGCTGTGCGTGCTGTGGGAGGAAGGAGGCGAGAAGGTATCTGTGTCCTCTGCCAAATGCCATGGCCCTCTGAGTTGGGTCTTTGTCCCTTTCTTTGGTTAGAAGAAAGTTCTACTAAAGTGCTTTCTTGTCCAGGTCAGCAGGTTAAGAGCTTTTCATTCCTCGTGGGCTAAGCTGCTCGTTTCAGTCTCCTACAGAGGCCTGGCCGCAGAGCAGGGGAGTCTGCTCTTAAGAACAGCACCCTCAGGTGGAAGCAGTTCAGGCTCTGCTGCTAGCAGGGCTGCCTTGGACATGCTGAGCAGGTGAGGAGGGACTCGGCCAAGCTTTGAGAGATCTAGTAACTAATAGTTGCTCCTCTGAACACTCGGGGAGTCTCACTGTAGGAACTTTTCTGTTCATCGGCCACACAAGAAGAAATGAGATAGAGCTGTCTAAGCCCCCTGAGATGCTCTTAAACAAGGCACTAATTATTTCTGCAGTGCTGTTCAAAGCATTGCCATTTGCAGGGCTCTCCGCTCTGCTTTGTATTAGACTTGCTTCTGCTTGACTGTCACTGCAGCACTGAAAGGTAGGCTGCCTGGGATTCGTTTAGGCCTTCTCATCCCTGCCAGACTTCTAAAGCCTCTGCTTCAAAAGAACTTGCAGAATCAACTGTGCTTTTGGTTTGGGTTTGTGTCTCTGGTTACTTCTGCCTCCTGCAGCTCGTTGATTTTTTTAATGTACCATAATTGGGAATTAATCTGTGAACAACAGCATTTGGAAAAAATTAATTGTGTGTGGAATGTTTGATAATTATGTGTATCTGTTAACCATTTATTTGCTCTTTTTTGTTTTAGGCATTGCTCATCGTGATCTGAAGCCAGAAAATATATTGTGTGAATCTCCAGAAAAGGTAACTGGAGCCTGCTTTGGGATGTTACCATTTAGACTTGCCTAGGAAGCCACCTTGCCTCTAATACAGATTGTTAGCAGTTCTCTTGGCCTCAGGAACCAACTTGAACTGATGATCACGGACATGTGAGAATGTTATGCCTAATATGTAACATTCCAAGGAGGACCAATCCTTGTCCCTTCTTTGCTCTTGATCATCAATATGATTGGCTTAAGCCTGAGAGTTGGTAAAAGAGATGAGCCATCGGGCTCGGTGGCTCAGCCTATAATCCCAGCACTTTGGGAGGCCGAGGCAAGTAGACTGCCTGAGCCCGCAGGTTCAAGACCCACCTGGGCAAATTGGCAAAACTTTGTCTCTACAAAAAATCAAAAATGAATCGGGCACAGTAGCGCGTGCCTGTAGTTCTGGCTTCTTGGAAGGCTGAGGTAGAAGGATCACCAGAGCCCAGCAGGTCATGGCTGTGGTGGCCGGGAGCGTGCCACTGCACTCCAGTCTGGGCGACAGAGTGAAACTCCAACTCAAAAAAAAAAAAAAGAAAAGAAAAAAGAAATGAGCACTGCACAAAGTTAATATTTTCTAGTCCATTGCAGTTACCTTTAGAGTAGTTGATGTGAGTCATAAACAACTCAGTTTTGTATGAAGCAGATCTCAACCTATAAATGATTAGTTGTGTTGTGCTATGTGTACCAGGTGGTGTCTACCACTGGAGGTAATAATTAGGGAAGCTCTGAAAAGGGCTTCTGTTTCCATTTTTATTTTCAAAGGTGAGCATTAAAAAGAAAACATTTATGCTTGATATTGAGCAAATGCAACCTATTTTCAACGTTGCCTTAATTGAATCTACTAGTAAGTGGAAGTGTTTGCGTTTCCTTAAGAGTGTATGAATTTGACAAATTTTGTGTTTGTTAGGAGGGATTTAGGCCCTGGTGGTTTTAGGAGCTACATTCACAGTTTTACATGTGTGTGCACATGTATGTATGTTTGTGTGGAAGAGCACATATATCATCTAGAGGAAGCCATGGCTTAAACAAAGGATGGCCTTGAGTAAATACATGAGTCAGCCTGCTACCCACAGCTCTTTTGGGGGGGATAATAATGGAATGAGCAGAAAAAAGAACTTGTGACTTCCTGTCTCTGGTTCTGGCATGGGCCTTTATAATTTATCATTATAATTATGATTATTAGTAATAATTACAATGAACATTTCTTGAGTATTTACATTGTACAGGCACTTATACTTAGTATTTACAAAATATCATGAGGTATATACTATTATTATCTTCATTTTATGGATGAGGAAACTGAAGCTCAGAGAGATTAAGAAATTCGTTCAAAGTAAGTCACTCAGCTGGTCAAGTAGAAGAGCCTAGATTTCCATGGGTCGCCAAACGACCCATTATTGCCTCTGATTTACAGTGTAATTTCATGTCCTTTGTTTCAGTTGATCTTCAAGGCACAGGTTTGTTGCCCCCTTTACATGGTTGGAAAAACCAAAATTAAGAGAGGCTGGCTGGGCATGGTAGTGCACGCCTCTTGTTCCAGTTACTCAGGAGGCTGAGGCAGGAGAATCGCTTGAGCTCAGGAGTTTGAGACCAACCTGAGCAACATAGCAAGACCCCTGACCCTTAAAAGAGAGAGAAAGAGGGAAAAAAATTGGGTTTAATATCCAAAATATCAGGGTGCCAAAAAAAATGTGTACACATTGCAAGAGATGTTATCTATGTATGTCTTTTAGTTCACCATCATCAGAAGTGTCTGGACACTGCTGATAACCACTTTGAGCATCTCTTGTAATTGCAGAAGTCAAACGTGATTTGTATTTACCTTTTGTTATTGGTATATATTGACGATTACAATTTTAATACAGTTTTTTTTCCTTGCTTAAAATGTGTATACATTTTTTTGGCACCCTCTGTATATCCTAAAACTCAACAACAAAAGGACAACCCACTTAAAAAATGGGCAAAGGAACAGACATTTTTCCAAAGATGATGTACAAGTGACCAACAAGCACAAGAAAAGATGCTCAACATCCTTAGTCATTAAGAAAATGCAAACCAAAACCACAGTGAGGTACCACCACTTACCTACTAGGATGACTGTAATTTTAAAAATGGAAAGTAACAAGTGTTGGTGAGGATGTGGAGAACCCTCATACATTGCTGGTGAGGATGTATAATGGTGCAGCCACTATGGAAAAGTTTGGCAGTTCCTCAAAAGGCTAACCACAGAATTACCATATGACCCAGCAATTCCACTTCTAGGTGTTACTCCCAAAGAACTGAAATCAAATAGATACTCATACACCAATGTTCATTACAGCATTATCCAAATAGCTAGAAGACAAAACCCAAGTGGCCATCAGCAGATGAATAGACAAATAAAATGCATGACATAAATCCAATGGAATATTAGTGATAAAATCAAATGAAGTTTTTTCACTTATTGTCCTAGTAGGTAAGTGAAATAACAAGGACAGATAATGTATAATTCCACTTATATTAAATAGGCCAATTAATAAAAACAAAGATTAGAGCTTACCCAGAACCAGGAGGAGGGGGAATGGGAAATTGTTGCTTAATGAGTAAGGAGTTTCTGTTCAGAGTGATGAATAAGTTTTAGACAGTGGTAATGGTTTCACAACAGCATTAATGTACCTTCTGCCATGAAATTGCACACTTTAAAATGGCATATTTTATGGTTTATATTTTGCCACAATGTAAAAGAGAGGGACTAAATGAAAAAGAAAAGAAGAAAGATAAAATGAAAGAAAAAGGGAGGAAAGGAGATAAGAAAGGAGGGAAAGAAAGAAAAAGAGAGAGAGAAGAGAAGGAAGGGGCGGGAAAAGGGAAAGAGGTTGGGGACTTGCCCAGGCTTCCTGGGCAGGTAAATAGGTGAGCAGGACTCACAGAACCAGTGTTCCCAGCCCCCTCTGTGCTGCTTCTACCGGGTATGCCATTCTCATGCATGCACCCAAACTCCCTCCTGCCTGGCTCCAGAGAAGAGGCACCTGTGCTCCCAGGCAAAGCACCCAGTTCTGGTGGGCTTGGCTGCTGTTGATGCCACCAGGGTTGAACAACCATCTCAGTTTTCCCAGGACTGAGGGGCTTCTCAGAACACAGGACTTTCAGTGCTTAAACCAACAAAGTCCCAGGCAAGCAAACCAGGATAATTTGGTCATCCTGAGTCACCTGAGGTGGTCAGGGATTTTACTCCAAGCTCCTTTGCCCTCCACTGGATGGGCTGCAAGGAGTCTGGCTCTCTGGAATGTGCATTAACTTCTCAAGCTTCTGTGCTTCAGCTTGTGCCCTTATTTGCCAACAGGAGTTCCATACTTAAAGTGTACTAAGTTCACAGAGATCTAACACCATATAGTCCACCCACTTTTCTCTTAACTAGGAAATAAGAGAGCATAGGGAAGAGGACACTTTGGGAAAAATCCTCAGGGGACTTCTCATGAACCTAAGGAGAGCAAATACAACCTGATGGAAAAAGCCAGCTGCCATGTGACAGCCAGACAGTCAGGCATCCATACTTCATGCCAGGCTCCTTGTGCCTTGTAGTTTCTTATGTCTCTGACCTTGGCTTCTGTTTTCCTTTTCAGGTGTCTCCTGTGAAAATCTGTGACTTTGACTTAGGCAGTGGGGTGAAACTGAACAACTCCTGCACCCCCATAACCACACCAGAGCTGACCACTCCGGTATGTACAGCTGGGCACCCTGTGCCACTTCCTTCTGGCCTCCTGAGCATTTGAAATGCTCCCTGACCCAAAGCCAGGAAGTCCAGAACAGAGGCAAGGAAGGAAAACTAACTGTATCTATAGCACGCCTGCCATCTGAATTGTCATTTGGCTCATAGCTCTGTATTCGTAGCCCCCAAGCCTGCCCCCCATCACCCCCATCCCTTAGTTACTAATGAAACGGACAGTAGGGCTCTTAGTTTGGAGTGGGTCCTCTCTGCTTATGAAGAGATTGCATCTATCAGCCCTGACTCTTGACCCAGGTGAAAACAGACACCACCCCCAGGCCAGTCCTTTTGCACATGAGTATGTGGGCAGTTCTGTAAGCTACATCTCCCTCATGATGTAGCTGTCCTCCCCACCCACAGTGTAATGGATAATCTCCCTGTGGTGGGAACTGTGAGGTCCTGAGCTGTATGCACGTGGGATCACGTCGCCAACTTACCCAGTTGCTGCTCTGACTTCGCATTTCACGCCTGGATGGTGCTGCTGGGAGCTGTTTATAAGACAGCTCTTGTACATACTTGATATACTATAATTATTATGACTCTTTTGAGATTTGTGTGCTTCACAAGTAAATTTTCCCAGTAACCCTTTCTAAAGACATGCCTTTAAATATGCCTGTATTGTGTCTTATTCTAACATCATGATTAGGAATGTTTCTGTATTCGCTTTAACACACTGAGCCACCTTGTTCTCAAAGTCATTAACTCTAATTGCCAATAACAAAGAAAATATCCTTTCTTGAGAACGCTTATGCCTTCCAATGGAATTAGTCTTGTGGGGGGAATGGGGGTTGTTCCTCAGTGATCCTGAAATAATGAAGAGGGGAGCAAAAAGAATGCATTTATTCTTATTAGCAGTTTTCTATGCAAGGTAAGAGGAAGGAGTCCTGGATTGTGGTCCTGGGTCTGCTACTGATGTGCTCGAACAAATCCCTGCCCCTTCTAGGCCTTGCCTCTGCCATCTGTAAATCAGAGTTTGGGGGCGTTGGATTTGTTCTAAGAGCTCTTCTAGCTTTAATGGTCTTTTGATTCTAAAGTCTTACACGTCCTTGCTCGGAGCTAGCCAGGGAGTTTGGCAGGACTCGCTTTCAGACATCCTGGCTATGTAGAATTGGACCTCCTCAGATCTCCCTTCCAAAGCCATCTTCCTGGTATATTTAAGTACCTGTCCACGAAGTGGCTGTTTGTAAAGCAGAGGCAGGGAGAAATTCCTGGAGCTTCTTGGCCAAGGGGCTGTGCCCACTGGAGAAGGAACTGAAACAATAAGAAGGTGACTTGGAACTGGTCATATGGATCATGGAGACTGAAGGAGCTCAGTTTACTAACATTAGGGTAGCACGCTGGCTGCCTTCCTGAAGACTTCCTGCTCAGCACTCCATCCTCCATCCTCCTGTGTCAGTCCCATCATAGTCTCTCTCTGCCATCCTCTTCCTTATGACTAAGCCTCTTTCTGCCATCTCCCCCTCCCCCAACCCTGACTCCCATAGTGCGGCTCTGCAGAATACATGGCCCCTGAGGTGGTGGAGGTCTTCACTGACCAGGCCACTTTCTATGACAAGCGCTGTGACCTATGGAGCCTGGGCGTGGTCCTCTACATCATGTTGAGTGGCTACCCCCCCTTCGTGGGTCACTGTGGGGCCGACTGTGGCTGGGACCGGGGAGAGGTCTGCAGGGTGTGCCAGGTGAGTGTGGCCCCAGGGACTGCTGCATGGGCCCTGCTGGGAGTCAGTGTGGTTGTGGGATGTCAAGCAGGGCTGAGCTGGGAGATCATTCCTGATCTGGAAGAGGGTCACAGGGTAAAATAGAGATAATCAGGCACTCAGCCCAGCTAGAAGTTCAAGGGATGATTGTTAGAGAAGGTCACACCTGAGCTGACTTTTTTTTTTTTGAGCTGGAGTCTCACTCCATCGTCCAGGCTGGAGTGCAACGGCATGCTCACGGCCACCCCAGCATCAACCTGCTGGGCTCCGGCAATCCTTCCACCTCAGTCTTCCAAGTAGCCAGAACTACAAGCATGTGCTACCATACCTGGCTAATTTTTTTTGTTTTGTTTTTGTTTTTGTTTTGAGTTGGAGTCTCACTCTGTCGCCCAGACTGGAGTGTAGTGGCCGCTCCCGC